GTTTACCTTTTTTATTTGTTGAATATTCAACAAAACAAAAATTTTTTTGTTACGTTGAAAGGTTATGTTCATCAGTTTGCCGTTGCTCTGCTAATCATACTGTTGCAGCTGATGTTATAATATTTTCTTGTTTCATTTCAGCAAAATAATTACAAAATCTTTTTAACGGGATGAAGATTTGGCAATAAACTTCTTTTACTGTCGTCAGGAAAGAAAAAGAAGAAAAAAGAAAGAGAATGGATTATGCTTATCGCTTTCTAAAAAACGTTAAATTTTTCTACAGCACTTTAAATCCAGCTTCATTGACAGGTAGACACTTTCAATTTATTTCTGGTTTTTGCATTGCATTTTTTTTTTCTTTGCAGATTATGTTTTATGTTAGTTTTATGATGTTGCTTTTTCAAGTTGTAGATTTGGATCGGTCACCTGTCGTTGTGAAAGAAACCGATGCGCAATTTTTGTAGCATATTTAAGCATTAGTTTCATTACTGAAGTTTTTTGAACTGTTTACTTTTATTATACTCTTGAGATGCCACTTTTTCTTTGCCGTAGTACTAAATGTCTTAGCTCACTCATATAAAGTTGCTGTTTTTTAGGTGCTATTGATATGATTGTGGTGGAACAGCCAGATGGTTCATACAGGTCAACTCCATGTCACGTCAGATTCGGTAAATACGGTGTCTTTAACAGTAATGAGAAGGTTTGAAACTTTCCAGCTTGTTCATGAAATATTTTAAAGGTGGTACGCATGTTTCGTAGCGCTATCAGGCTTTTTTAAATACCAGTGCGTTTCGAATTTTTGGTTTATTTGAGTAAATTATTTAAGTATGTAAGATTGTCTGGCAAGCATCAATTTATTCTTTTCAGTACGTAGATATAACAATTAATGGTGAAGAAATTGATTTGAAAATGAAACTTGGTGAAAACGGGGTAGCGTTTTTTGTTGAAAAGGCGGAGGATGATGACGTTCCAGAGTATTTAGCAACAAGTCCTATTCCAGGTAGCAGGTCTGAAGAAGACGTTGATGAAGTATGTATTTATCTGTTTCAAACTAAGACAAAATTGTGAACAGTCTCGTAATGTTGAAAAAGAACAGTTCAGGTTTTGTTTTATTTTTTCAATTACTTTTTTCAGCTTCTGAATGCCAGTGTCAAAGAACTTTGTAACCAACAACGTGGACGTGCGGAACAGAAGCGTGTCCTATCGGAGTGTTCTAGTGTTTCAAGATCTCCTTCCCCTCCTTCACAGGATCTGGACGGCAATGGAAGGTACGTTGTGTCTAGTTTTATTGATTTCAAATTTATTTATAAAAATTACCTGGTGACACTTATAGATGCAGGGTGTCATCGGAGACAAAAGATTGTCGGACGCAACAGAAAAAGCTGCTTTTTACTCCTTTGCAGTTTAGCAATAGAAATAATAGATCACTTCCTAATCTTTCTGAATTACACCATGACAATGATCCCGTTGCGAAATATGCGAGTGGAAGCAATGAGCCCGTTAAGGACAAAACCGATACCTCTGTCAAGTTAGTTTTTCTTTCTTCCAATGTCAGTTTCAGGGATCAGTGCTTTTCTTGTCATTTGATATCCCACTTTAATATTAATTTCTGTTTTGTTCCAAAACGTTTAGTTTAGGCGTTTATGTCTCTTTAATTTAAAAAAAATTGCAGTGTAGTTGTATTCGGTGTTGATGAACGTATAAAGGTTTTACAGGAAAGTGAAGCACGTGGCCAAAAAAAGCCAAAGTAGAAGTTCGAGTCCATCTTCAAGAAAATTAAGGCTTGAAGGATATAGCAGTGTAATGTTAAGCGGAATTTGGAAAGACTCTTTAGATGGGGGAAAAAATTCAGTAAGTTGTTGCCCCTCTTATTTCTTCAAATTCACCTCTTCACCTTTTTTTTTTTTAATTCTTAAGAGGATTTTTTGAAGGAGAGTGAAAATGAGGATAATGCGTCATCGCGGTCTTCATTGGCAAGTAGTGGTTTGTCTAGCGTTGGTGAAGCAACTGGTCAAGCCTCTTCGGAGGGAGCTGCTATCGCAGATGGTGCTTTTTCTGATTCAGAAATTGACAGGCAGCGTAATGCTCTTCAACCGGTCAGTTTAACTGTGTTTGTTTAAAACCTTTTAATCTCTTTTTTTATAAACTGCCAGAACAGAAACGCATTTGCAGCATGGAAGCGAAGTTACTGAATGGAAGTGGGGTGAGCTGCCTAAAACCCGCGAGCAAACTGAATTAGCAAAGAAAGATGCTGAAAAGAAAGCAGAAGCGGAAGCAGCGGCTAAGGAATCGGTACTTTATAATTAAATTTTGTTGAAAATGTCTTTTTTTGGTTGCTGGAAGCTGGGAATGTCTTTCTCATTTGTTTGCTGTGTTCGTTGTGCTTTTTCTCTTTGGAGGTATAGTAAAGTTTATTTCAGAAATACTCATGGAGCGGCTGGTTCCGTTGGTCGAAACCTAAACCGAGTGAAGATCAAGGTATCTACCTCGACGACCTTGTAGAAAGTTCTGCTCGTGATCCGGGGAAAATTGAGATGTATTTAGGAACCCCAATTTCTTCATGGTGAGCTTAAATCATTGCGGCTTTAGGCGTATTTTTAGATCTCTTATTTGTTAAGCTTTATTTTAGCCCTTCGCCACCCTCTGATAGTGGTAATGTGTCTGCTAGTTCCCCTTCGTTCGGTACATTTATTGAAAATGAATTGGTTGATCATGAACTCGTTTCTGGTTACAGGGATTCCTATCTTACAGACAAAGTATGTTTGTCTTTCTACGAAATCCAATGGTATCAAGAGGACAAGAATGTCTCTTGTTTGATCAAAAGTTCCTCAGTTGGCGTTTATATTTTCTTATGGCTTTAGAATTTATTGTTTATAAATTTTTTTACTTTTAGCGTGTTTCAACTCCTACTGGTTCTAGTAATGGCCACGATGAGGGAAAAGTAAGGTTTCCATGTGTTTTACAATTTTTAATTGTTAAAGCTACTTAAAAACAAAAGATATGCTACTGTATCGTCTTTAGTTCTGCATCCTGGCTAAAGTTCAATTAGAGCAGTGAGATTAAACGTTTGTAAGAACTGTGTTTCCTAGGCTGCTTACTCTAATTACTGTGACGTGCTCGCAAAGAGGGAGCTTTTTGAAGTGTCCACTGACAGTTTTTAGGTTGTAGTGCTAAGTTAAACCGAGGATGGAAATGGTTCAAATGTGATTATTGTATACTTTTCTATCAAGGGGTGCTTTGTGAAATTAGTTTGGTAGCTATCGAAACATCTTGATTTTTTAGCAGTGGGAAAATGTTTCTGGCCGCAAGGAAGAGGAATTATCAGTCGACACTCCTTCTACTGAAACGGCGTCAGATTTCACTCCAAAATCAACAGAAGGAGGTATTAGGAGCAAATCTCCTCTACCTGAAGTTTTGTAAGTCTACCAATATGCTTTAGTGCCTCATATCTTTGCACGGGTTTTAAATCAGAATGAATTATAAATAGTGTACACTCTCTAAGGCATTTGATGCTTTAATTCTTACTTAAAAGTAGATAACGCCAATAGTATTTGCTTGATGTATTTTGAGCGACTGGAGCAGTTTAAATACATTTTTCTGACTATAAAAAGGTTCAGCCAAATGAGTGACGATGAAGCGGATACGATTGTTGTGAATGAGCCTGAAGTAGAGAAGAAAAAGCCAGTTTATATTCGATCTTTACGTTTATCTAGTGAAAAACTAAAAAAACTGGGGTTGCGCAGAGGTGCAAATGAGGCTCGGTTCTCAATAACTACCAAATTTCAGGTAGGAATCTTCAGTTATTTATGGCAGGTTAATTCACTGATTTTAAAAGATGTTAAATTTGTGAAGTTTAAGCAGCTGGTATGGTTTTTAGACTTCATTCTACGGTGCAATTGAAGGAATAAGCTTATTTATGTAAGTATTACACGGCTGCATTAAAACTTTAAAATGTTAAGAAAATTAGTTATATCTCAGTGTGAAATTGAATCAAAATTTTATACAAAAACAGTTGTCATGCTGTTTAGAAGAAGGACATTAAGGATCGTTGGAATAGTTTGGTTACTCAAACGTATAAGTATAGTTGCAGTATCTACATCGTTGTGTTTTAGTTGGAGAAAAATAGAGTTTTGTAAATTTTTAAATGGAATGATTTATCTGTAGATGTTTTAGGGAACTTGTTTATGTAGTTGCCATATATATTTATATCGGTGGTATGACCAACTTGTCGTTTCGGATATTGATGGGACCATAACAAAAAGCGACGTTCTTGGTCATGTAATTCCTGCGATTGGAGGACAGTGGGCGCATGCGGGTGTAGCTGAACTGTATACTAGAATTAAAGAGAACGGGTTGGGCTTTACGGTTGTCGGAATATTTTTTTAATGAGAGATTTATACCATTACGAAAATTGCTGTTTTTATCATTTGTATTTTTTTATTTTCTTCGAGTATTCTAAGGTGCTCTTAACAATGTTTTTAAAAACAGCTGTTTTAGGTACAAAATGGTTTATTTGTCTTCTCGAGCAGTTGGTCAGAGCTACTATACTAAGAAATATTTGCAAAGCATTGAACAAGATTCTCAGGTTCTTCCAGATGGCCCCTTGCTTCTGTCACCAACTTCAGTTTTAATTGCGTTTAGAAGGTTAGATACTCGAATTTTTCCTGTTCCATATATATCCTGTTCTTTCTAAAGAAAGTTTTGTTTATTAGTTTTCGAACTGATAACACCTCTGTTTGCTTTGTGTAAGGAGTTGGTGGAAAATTTTAGGGAAGTTATTGATCGGAAGCCAGAAGAGTTTAAGATTGCTGCTCTGTCGGACTTGAAGGAATGTTTTCCCGCCAAAAAGCCTTTTTTTGCTGGGTTTGGTAACAGAGATACCGTAAGTAGTTCTTGATTTTTTTGTCGTTTAAGTAAATTTTTTCTTTTTCTGACCTATTTTGTTTCTCTTCTGCAATGCTACTATTTTTAAATTATTTTGTAAATCTACAGGATGTTGTCTCTTACCGAGCAGTTGGTGTCCCTCCAGAGAGAATTATGATTATCGATAAAACTGGTAGGGTCCATCGAGCTGATGAAATTGGGTATGAGTCGTCATACATGTCAATCGCAATGGATACAGTAGACTACATTTTTCCTCCTTTGCAAAGGCGTCGAAAGACAGGGATTTCTGCAATTGATTCTGTATCTTCAGCGGCTCCTCGCGTAAAGAATTCATTTCCTAAGCCCCAAACTTGCAGGTCCTTCTTTTTTTCTCTTATAAAAGTTTTAAATTTTATTATTATTACTTTGTCTCCTTTTTTAGTTCGTTCACGTTCTGGCGAGCGGATCCTACTGCAGGTGTCGAAACTGTTGACTTTGACAGTTATGAAAAGGAACGTATAATTATGAGTGCGGAAAATAAGAAAAGAAAGAGAAAGTAACTGTAAGTTTTAGGGACTTATGAAAGAACCTTTTAATTGATTATGTCACTGAGCCTTCGAAATCTTTCTTTCTTTCCATATTTTCATGTTTACTAGCAAGTTGTTGTATAATTTTGTCTAGATTACTAAATGATTAACAATAACGGTTTTGTCAACCTATATTTTTCCACTGATTGTTATATCAGAAGGAACAGAAGTTTATAAATGTTTAACATAGAATATTAACCAATTATAAGAGGATTTTTTCCATTTTAAGATTAAAATTTTGAAGCTTTCAACTTTCTTTTTATGTACTATTCTTTAAATTTTAAACTCTGGGAATCTGGCTCTTTTGTTTAGTTTGCTTTATGTCATATACGTGTACCATTTGTGTCTTTCATGAGGTTTTTCTTATCTTGTAATTAATGTTGTTTCTGCTTTTTAATGGGCTTGAAACTTTTTTTAGAGCTTATTTTCTTAATGGCTTTTAGTTAGGCAAATTTTTTTTGTGATCTGGTTAGGATTTTTTTGTAATTTCTGCAGCCTTGTAGCTTAGTAACTGTATATTCGGTAATAATGTCTAGTGTTTGCAAAATGTAGTCCAGTGTTTCTATTGTAGTTCCCAGTTTTTAAATTTTGCACCTATACCAGTCATTTTTGGAAGACATAGTTTTATTAATCTGTTGCCTTTTTTGATCCGGTTGTTATTTGTAATGTTAATTAGTTTCGTGGTCACTGGTATTTTTGTAATAGAGAATTTATATTTCTTGACCTTCGAACATTGTAAAGCTTTAGTCAGGGTATTGTTTTTAGTAGTCTAACACTTTCATTTTTGAATTACTTCATGTAAAATAATATTTCACTGTAGAATGGAATGGCTGAATTTTAATTGGCATCATGTTTAAAGCTGAAAGAAAGTTTTAAATGTGCACTCGTTTGTTGTTTCTTAAGCACTATAAGGCTCACAAATGACAGTTCGCATTTTTATTGATTCAATTTGATGGTTTAAAATATTTATTAGAAAATGGAGTTTAGACCGAGGCTGGCGGACTTTGATTGACCGCAAAGACAGTCGGGAGGCAGCTTCGCTAAGGGTTTTCGAATGCAAGAAACAGTGTAGCGAATTTGGTCAGCAATTTGCATATACGCACTTAATGTTGATCACAGACTGGCTGCCCAATAACTGTCACTTAGATTTTGATACATTAGGTGACGTAGCTAATTTGGAGGGTAGTAGTCCCAGGAACGATTCTTTGCGTCTTTGTTTGACTGACTTTCCTTCTATTTTAAAGCTTATCTATCTGTCAATGTGTGTGCTCTAGGGTTTCAAGAATGTCTGTTTTGAATAGAAAATATGACTTGGGTTGAAGTTTTTTGTGAAGGATATGTCTGCAATCAGCGCGTTTTTTTTAGTAGTGATTAAATTGTTTTGGAAGTCTGATTTGTAATCTACCAGTTTTACAAGTTTAACAGTTATGGAGACGACGAGAAATAAAACACATCAAAAGTGTGCAACACTGGAATCAGACAGCCCTCACTTGAGTTTTTTTATTCAAAGGTTTTACAGTTTTTAAACTCATAACTGACCGGCTGTTTCTATTTGATGGTTGACAGAAGCTGCTGAAAATGGTAGAGCTTAAGCTGATAGCTCTGGTTTTCATGTGTCCATCTGCATGAGGTTTTTATTTGGTTATACAGTGTTCGGAGATCAAAGTTTTTATTGCTGTATACTATTTCTACGGAATGTTGCTTGAGAAGTCGCTACTACGTTGTCGTTTTTCACCCATATATTAGGATCTTTTGCATTTAATGTGTACAATCTTCAGTTTTACGATTTTCAAAACGTCAGCAGTGTTTGAGCGTTGATTGAGCAGACAGCAGTTTTACTTGTACGAGGGACTAACGAATACAGAGATGAAAAAATCTGTCTAGTGAAAACTCAAAGTGCTGATGAATATCGAATTTTCTCAAAAAAAAAAATTTTTTTTCAAGGATTCTATAGTAAAAATGTGGGAACATTAAAAAAAGAATCAAGAGGTCGATTTTGTGTCTGACTCGAAAAAAATGAAGTTGGATGGTTGTACACTGTCACCGCTTCGTATTTACCGAACAGTTATATAATTATCACATATATTCAGACTATTTATGGTCGAAAAATTTGTAAGCTTTATTCAGCTGTGCACTTTGAACAGGTTACACAGATTTTGTTGGTAAATTTTTTTTCAAACTTCAGTTTTGTTTGATGTTTCAAGTACCTTGTAATCTATCAGATATATAATTTATGACAAGCAGTTAGTGATATGGCAGGAAAACAGCAAAACTTCAACAAATACAAACATAAAAATGCAGAAAAGCTGTTTTTTTGCCTTGCTTTGTTTTTTTGACAGCTCCTTTTTTTTTTTTTTCGACTCTATCAGTTCAAGTAAGTTGTCGGTAATTTGATCACGTCACTTATTGGTCCTAAACCGATGTGGAAAAGTGAATTCCAAAAAGAAATTGAAAAAAGGTTTTTTAGCAACTTATTTCAACTTTTGTGTTGAAATTAGCATTTAGGAATTGCTTTTACATAGTAATTTGTTGAGCCAGTTATCGTGAAACTAAAAACATTGTAGCTCATGTTGGGACAAATCCTGTAGTATTTGAAAATTTTTACAAAGTGATAAAACAGGATGACCGGCTGGTTGGTAAATTGAACAATTGAAACAAAATTGATATTTGGGAAAGTTTTCAAAGAAATAAAGTGTGCCTTCACAAGCGACATTTAAATTGCCACCTATCAATGAAGAGAAAACAGTTCAAAACTGTTAAAGAGACCTGTGTTAGCAAGGAAATTCAGGTAAATTGTCGACATTTTTTTATGCCTTGCTGTATCTGATTGAAATTTATGTAGTGTTTTTTTGCGTTCACCATTCAGTTACAACAGATATTTTTATTTTATAATCAGCAGTTGCAGAATGCATTACTGTTTATCGTTAAACTGTTGTTATTGTTTTAAAAAAATCCACGATTTGTCAGAACGCGATTTTGGTCGGTGAAAGTGGGGACGGGAATTTGAAGTAGAAATTCACATTTTAAGTGCAAAACTTGTTTAACGTGACATTGGAACTTCAACTTAAAAAAGGAAGGAATACAGAGCAATTATAGTAAATGACAAATGACTACAGGAGGATGCATATGTATATAAATAGAACGAGTTAAATGTACAGTTTTTTTACAGTGTTTTAAGGTTACACAACTTCATATAGCACTATGCTCTCTGCTCTTCATTTGTTCTTTGAAATCTTAAACTTTACACCTTTGGAAGATTAAAAATCTAGCATGTGGCCTAAAAAATTCTTAGCAGACTGGTACAAAAGAACAATAGGTTCATTTGTTTTTCCTTTTCTTTCGCGTTGGAGAGTGCAATTCTGAAAACTTGATGATATCATTAGAGCGAGTACGCGGCGTATTTCAAATTCTGAACAACTGACGTCAAAAAGAGAAATGTTTTTTTTTTTTTTTTTTTAATGTCGACACTAAATTTATGTTTCGTCTGTCATAATTTGTTTGTTAAATACGCGTAAACTATCTGTCATAAATTTTATCGCTAACAACTTGGGCGAATCTTTAGACAGATTACTTCATCTGATGGATCAGCTTTTTTGCTTTTCAAAATTTTTGAGCACTACTTTGCAAATAGGTGGAAATCAAAGTTACTTGCTGTTCAATTGCTAATTTCTCTATCAATCAACTGTTAGAGTAGACAAAAAGCGCTACATCAGCACATGCAACGTTTAATTCATCTTGACGACAGTGGCAAAATACTAAATCTATCTTGTTGTTGACTCTTTGTCTTTTTTGCCTTTTTGGTAGTGTTCTCCAACCATTCCTCCACATTTTTGAAGTACTGACGCTCTTATAAATATTCAGTGTTTGTTTGATTCTTGTTGACTAACCAAAATAATTATATATAAATCACATCTTTTACTGTGCGCTTATATATATATATATATATATATATATATATATA